TGATAGTCGTGGGGTACAACTTATTAAAATAGCTAAGGTACGTGTTACCAACTACAAAAAAAAAAAAAAAAAAAAAATCGGGTTTTCTTGGTTTTACTGCAAAAACTCAGTGTTTGTTTTTTTCTGTGGTCTTTGATGCGTATTTTAGCCATTTACTAAGTTATATCGCACCGTTATCAAGCCCCTCGTAAAGTTTGGGGCCGTCTGTTCGACTGTAGTGCGCTGTACGTCGAATTGAAGTTTTGGGGTGCATTATATGGGACAAAAGGGTGTAAGGTGACACCCTTTTTCTTAGAGTGTACTGAAGGTTTATTAAGGACTACAATTACTCCATGCCCTTAGATACACGACACTGCCCACACGAGCGACACGCGCTTGGCGGCCCAAAGATCGTATGACGTCACGACTGGTTGGAGGTTGTAAATATATCAGCTTGAACTTTTAAATTAAACTAAGAACACGAAGAAAGAAATGACAGGATAGGACACACAGCTGACTACCAACGATGTTTTAGTGCAGACTTCTTCCTTGCGCGTTTGGTCCTTCATCAAGAGTCCCAAGTAGAGCACGATAAACCTATTATATAAATTACCGTATTCCACTAATAGAGATCACTACCGATGTTACACTTATACAAAATATACAAAGTATTTACAGGGAATTCTCTAAAAATTATTGTTTTTTAAACTAACCTGCCACAAGCTCGTGCTGTTGTTGTTTGGGACATGACATTTCGTAGGTATAGGAGGTATTTACTGGACGACATATTTGAGGGCGATGTTTAGAGCGGATGCTCAGAACGAGCTCACATTAATAGCCTGCTAAGACCGGCAACCTTGATGGTGCTAAATGCACGCTCCAAAAGTACTGCGGAAGCTCGACGTCAACACGCGCTCAGCAGCAGCGCACACGGATATGGCCGCCAGTTAAAGGAGCTGTGCAACAATTTTTGTACTTTGCGCAAATACCGCTTAGAACAGATCCCTGACGTTAATGACCTATAAAACGCGCGTTCGTTTTTCACTTCACGCGATAGAAGTCCCAGAAAAAAATTAAAGAAAAACGAGCAGCGTTCACCCCCTCAACTCGCAGCCAGAACAAGCGGCCACGCGATCTGGAGCCGATTATATGCCGCCAATGTTGATCATAGCCACGCGCTGGGGTTGGCAAAGCACAGGACACGCGCTGAGTTCCAGACATTGTTATGGCTCGGCTATTGTCGTCGTTGCAGCGATTGGACGCGGGCGACTACCCGAATCCTTCTCGAGCTAGTAATTATCACGAGCCCAAATCGAGTGCCCACGCAGGGCTCGGGTCCAATCTATGAACCGCATTCAAATATCGTCACTTGGGTGTACTGCGATCCCCACGTTACGTCATCAAATTTTGCAAAGGAGAGATTGAACGAAAATAATGGCTTTTGTTTTTGAAATTTCACCGCAACAAAGGAGTTTCTTGACCAGTGGCGTTCCGTGCGAGTATCCTTGAGTCCCACTAGTGCCAGTAAGCTCGTGTATAGTGAAAAACATACCAACTGAATATCGTTGCACAGCTCCTTTAAAGGAGCGATGCAACAAATTTTCTACTTTGCGCAAATACCGCTTAAAACGGATCCCTAACGTTGATGACCTATGAAACACGCGTTCGTTTTTCACCCCACGCAATAGAAGCCCCCGAAAAAAATTAAAGAAAAACGAGCAGCGTTCACCCCCTCAACTCGCAGCCAGAAAAAGCGGCCACGCGATCTGGAGCCGATTATATGCCGCCAATGTTGATCATAGCCACGCGCTGGGGTTGGCAAAGCGCAGGACACGCGCTGAGTTCCAGACATTGTTATGGCTCGGCTGTTGTCGTCGTTGCAGCGATTGGACACGGGTCACAACCCGAATGCTTCTCGAGATAGCAATTGTCACGAGCCCAAGTCGAGTGCCCACGCAATGCTCGGGTCCAATCTATGAACCGCATTTAAATATCGTCACTTGGGTGTACTGCGATCCCCGAGTTACGTCATCAAATTTTGCAAAGGAGAGATTGAATGAAAATAATCGCTTTTGTCCTTGAAATTACACCACAACAAAGGAGTTTCTTGACCAATGGCGTTGCGTGTGAGTATCCTTGAGTCCCAGGTGTGCCAGTAAGCTCGTGTAGAGAGAAAAACATTTCAATTGAATATCGTTGCACAGCTCCTTTAATGCTCCTTATTGTCTTTCTTTTTTGTGAACAGTGATTGATGGGCTGCTGACGCAACCCTTCGCGTGCTCCTCGATGGCGAGCGCCTCGAGCATTTAGCGTGCATGAGGATTGTTGTTTCTGGCAAGAATGGTGGTGCTGGTTCAAAGCTACACTGCACTGGCATGTCCTCCTATGAGCGGCCAGATGTCCTGCCGCTGTTCACGCTGCATGCTCGCGGGCTCTGTCGTTGATACATCGGCCCGTTTGGCCAATGCAGCATTTCCCGCAAGAAAGGGGAATGTGGTACACCACACCTGTTGTGCATGGCAGAAACTCCGTTTTGTGGGCCGTGTTGCAGGATTTTGTCTTTCTTCTTCGGTTCAATTCCCTGCACATAGAGTAGACTTTGTTAGGCGCGGAGCATATATCTACTTGAACGTCATTTCTTGCGGCAATCTTTTTCAATTTGTGCGTAATCCCATGAATGTAAGGTAGCACCGCAATCTTCCTTCGAGTTTTGTCTGCGTTTCCGTTCTCCTGCCTTGTACGCTTCAAGTTTTTGCAGATGTTCGCACAGATTGATACCATGAGACTAGTTGGATATCCCGAATCTCGTAGGCGGGACATCTGTTTTTCAAAATTTTGCCCTATTTGATGTTCACACGATTTGTGTAGGGCAGAGATTAGAGCCGTGCTTGCGACACTTCTTTTGATGGTTCTTGAGTGTCCAGATGTGAACGGCAGAAACCCTTTTGCTGACCGGAGTTCGTACCTCCAGCACACATGTCCCTGATTGAAAGTCAGAGCGATGTCTACAAATTTTATATTTTTGTCGACTGCTGATTCATAAGTGAAAACTAAGTCAGGGCAACTTTCTTGGAAGCATCCAAGAACCGTATTTCTGTATAACTTTACCTGGCCATCTACCTCCGTAGCATTTAGTATTAAGAAGTCGTCCACATATCGGAAAATCGCCTTGACGCTTGTTCACGTTTCAGGTTGTTTTCGATGATCTTGCCGCATGCCGCCACGTACAAATCACGTAGGTGGGGCACCACCCGAGATCCAATACATACACCGCTTTTATGCACCATTTGTTGGTCTTGATATACTACCACAGTCGCGTTTAGATATATACCTATTAGTTCTAAAAAGGTGTCTACATTTATTCCTGCGGCGTTCTGAAAAGCTCTGGTGCCTTGCTTCTCAATGGCAGAGCGGAGAATCGCCATAAGGTTTGTGTGCGGAATCGAATAGTACATGTCTTGAATGTCTATTGAAAATCCAGATATGACACCGGCTCCATTTCCTTGAATATATGTAATTTATTGTTCCGAATTCTTTATTTTGTATGGATCATCTGATTGTATCAAGGATATGCGATTGGATAGGAACGTCGACAGATGGACTTGCCTGGTCTCTTTTTCCGACACAATGGCCTGAAACGGTTGTAAATTTTCACAAAAAAAAAAAAAAAAAAACTTGCAGTTTTTTTTTTGTTTTTCTTATTTTTGTGCAGAGACTGTTCAGGTCGTTATTATCAAGGAGCTTTAGAACTGCTTGTTCAATATTTTTGTTTCTTTTTGCGTCCACGTCAATGACGTTCTTTGCCATGGCGGCAGAAGCTTTCTCTTTGTATGTGGCTGAATCTAGTTGCTGCGCGCGGAGTCGGAGCGTCGGAGTAAGGAGCAGCAAAGCACTTTGAAAACCGCGAAGTAGTTTTCTAACTAGCTCACTAACACTTTTTTACTGGTTGTGTGCTATAACGGACACGTTTGTATCACTAAAGTAAGCGAGAATGTCATAAGACACGAAAAAAGGCGCGAGTGCTCCGAGAACGAAACCAACCAAATTAAAGAATGGCGGCGACCACGTTAGCGTCCTCTATCCGCCGGTCGGGTAACTACTGAGAGGAAACGTTTCGGTCGCGCCATAGAGTTATTATAATATACGTACATTATAATAACTCTATGGCTCGTGCCAAGCGCGGCAAGGTATTTTTGTCGCGCAGGTGTAGAGCAGTAGAGATTATAAAGAGCCTAGATTCTAGAGAGGATCCATCTCAAACCTTGGGGAGCTTTTGCATTATAGTGGCGAACGCCTCCCGCGCCGATTGGTTGCAAGTGCGCACGCGCTATGTTGTTGCGTGGCAAACGCCTTGTTCACCACCTCGCATCTTGGCAAACGCCTTCTTCACCTCCTCGCAGCTTGGCAGCTTGTATTGCGAACGCGGCTACGCGGCCCGAAAATCACGTGACCCCGATCAAGCAGTTTGGCACTCTCTGTAATAGAGGCTCTCCAGTAGAGCGTAGAGAGCACTAATTACAGAGAATTTCCAACTGCTCAATCGGGGTCACGTGGTTTATGCAACGCATTTTGCAATGCGACCTGCGAGGAGGTGACAAAAGTGTTCATTGTCTGCAAACGTCCCTGCTTTTCCTCCTGCTTTCCTTCACGCCGAGCGAAAACGGAGCGCATGCGCACCTGCGAGCGATTGCCACAAGAGGTGTCCGCCATTAAACTGCAAACGATCCCCATGGTTTGTGATGGAGCCTCTATTCAATCTAGGCTCTCTAGAGTAAGGAGCCTGGTGAGGTGGCGCCATCTACTAGTGGTTTGTGTAGTCACGGCCAGACTTGATTCGCGCTCGCTCGCGAAATCTAGCATAGCGTGAGCCTAGTCCGGCCGTCCCGCTCTGTAGTGACGCAAAAGCATGCATAAACTCTCGAGTTTTCGCTCTAACCCTCTTTTGCCGCTATTCGTTGGCACCGTCTTGACTTCTCACAAACCGCAAAAATGAAGCTCCCGACGTCACACCCAAAGTCGGAATCTGATGTAACGAACGCGCCTCCGGCACCTTCGGCAACAGTCGTTTCCGGCTTTCATGGAATCCAGGGGGCGCCACTTGCCTCAAGCGGACGCAGAAAGTTGTGTGTGGTGTTGATGCCTGATGCCTGACAACCAAAAGCTGTAAGTGCATCGAAACTCCTTATCACTTATTCAAATAACGCTTTAGCAGTCAATTAAAGCTGGCTTAGGACCTCACGGGACGCCCGCCCCATCTGTCTCGGCAGCGATGCTGCACAGCTCGTGTCAGCCGATCGACAGCACACCGAATACAGCGCTCGCACACAAAACGCTTCGGCGTTTTTCCGGTGATCTGTGCTCGCAGATTTAGAGATTACGAGCGGATTTCTATTTTTTTCGGTCCCACGTTTTTATATATTTTGTGGGATACAGTTAATCTCTCGTGCCCGCGTCCTCAAACGACCACGATATCTCCGCGACGAAGGACGCAGAACGGAGCGACTCGAGGGAACATTGTTCGCCGTTTCTTTTTTGTTGTTTGTTTTGTTTTTCGTTCAGACCGCGGACTCTCGGTTTGGTTTGAGACCAGCCACTGCATTATTCGACGCCGAGTCCTACAAAATCTCGGAGGAACGACGTTATATATTAACGACGGCTTTCACACCACATCTACCTCCCACCCGTCGGTTTCTGGACAACGCACAACGCTACGTTCCCGCTGCAATTCGAGCTGTGTCAGCGTCGTCGCTGATAAAGTGGTCGGCATAGACCACTTATGAAATCTCTCGATCGTAGCGCTCTTTCAAACCATTCCGACTAGGATCATAGTTTAGCGCCGCCTCCGCGCGTTGGAAGATGACCCGTCAAGACTCTGTGCATTGTTGAGTCGTCGAGTTACAGCACGTCTGTGCGTGCGTGTGCACGCGTGGGGCTTTGCAACGCCGCTCATTCATCGAAAACTTTTGATTGACGTTCCGGTGGTTCCTTCCTCCACGCCGCCGTGACCACGGTGGGTCAAAAGTTCCCGATAAAATTTTCTTTCTTTTCGTTTGAACTGCGACGTTTCATTACCGATGCAGTGTTCGACAGACGCGGTTTCACGGGCTTTGCCGTCCTAGTTTTTACGACATGATATGCCCACGTCGTTTCGTGCGCTATCCCCAAAGAAAAAAAAACAAAACAAAAACACGTTTGTACCTTGGACATATGTTCACTCCATTGTGCGCGTTATTTATTTATTTTTGCTGCCAGCTGCCGAAGCCAGGCAGCTCAAAGTGTCCGAAGTTTATGTGGCACAAAGGTCTCGATCCCTCGTGAAGACTCTGAACAATATACTCACTGGGCGTCCTTCAGTAACCGTTTTCCGACGATTTTAATAATAAGAATGATACGTTCGCAGTCTTTATAGGCCATAAAGACTGCAAGCAAGGCGATAAAATAACTCGCGATCATTTTTAGTTGGTCCGAGCTGAACCAGTTCTTTTGTTGTTGTTTTTGTTGTTCTGTTTGTAGCGTATTTTGCTCTTTTTTGTTTTCTGCGGAGATCGTGTGTGAGGATGCAACGTGCACTGAACTGTTCTGACTTTTCTCCCGGAACGCGAGTTATCCGATGAGGAATTTGTTTTTTTTATTGCTTACGTTTTGTTTTTGGATTGTTCAGGAAAACAACTTCTGGCGGCGAAAGGTGATGTTTATGCGAGGTCTATCGTGATGGAATGCTATTTCCTGTTTCTTTTCATGTTTTGTTTGTTTTTGTTTTGTTTTTAGTTTTAGCGTGAAGCATAGCGTCATTCGTTGTTCTAGAGTAAAGTAAAGCATAAATACATGAAAAAATATATCCACGCGCGGTCTCTTTGCGCACTCTTTTTTTTTACGTTGTGCGTATATTCGTTACCGAAAATGAACCGTTTTCCGTCGCGGTGAAACGTGCGACTAATGATGAAAAGTGCTCAGTGCCTCTTTTTTGTTGACTATTTCTTACGCTGTTGTGTTTGTCTCTTCGAGAATCTTTTTTTTCTTCTCGAAAACATGGGATGGGGTAGGGGAATTGAGAAAAACCGGTAGGTGGTTGTTTGCCGTTTTCAAGAAGTTGACTATTTTTATTGTTTCTTGTCTGTGTCGTGTAACATATCTCTAATTTGCGCCTTACAACCTTTGCAAACAAGAAAAACGGGAAAAAAAAAACAACAAAAAAACTGTCCTAGATGCATGCAGTTTCGTTGGGAATAGGGTGCAAGTATTCATTTATTCATTATCTTGGCCATCCTCTTTAGTTTCTCCCCCAGTATGATGTAGAACGCGAACTAAATCGCCGAGGTCGACAGCGTCGTTTCATATTTACTGATAGAATAGAATAGAATCACGTGAAATAGTAGATACAAATTGTGCTGATCTACGAAAGGAGGAACTGCTTGCGTCAGTAAAAGATAGAAAAAAGAAAACTAGGCTAGAATAAACAAAACAAACGTTCTGGAGTAAGTATATAGCCATCAGAACACTACACAAAGTACCGATCAGTCGTAAAAATAAAACATTCATATGTGCTAGCAATTCAACAAAAATAAAAAAAAATCACCTCTTTTGTTCTTTCCGCAACAAATTATCAAACTGTAGTCGTATTTCAGATATCGATATCATTACCAAATTATTAGTAATGATATCGATATCCAAATATTGATTGACATTACCAAATTATTGACAAATGATGCGCAGGATGATTATGGTTGTGCAGAAAACCGAGAGAAAAAGAGTTGAGGTCTTACTCCCGGTCCTTGTAAACTTCTCACAGAGGAACTACAGACGCAAGTTGAATGAGTAGGATTGCGATATTGCGTGTGGGAGAAGCTTTCTTATTTGGGAATATTTATATCGAATGGTGGTCGAGATGTTTTGCTCAGGAGGTGCGATCGTCGGAAGGAGCGTCCACGTTCGCCGGGGAAAGCTTTGAAAAAGAAGATATTTAGAATGGATGCTACGGATATAATTTTAATTTCCCTCCACTAGTGCGAATGCCGATTTTTGTCTCGCGACGGAACTCCAGTTTTCTGGCGACCCGAGCAACTTTCTTTCCCAGTATGGCCTGTCCACAAAACGAGTTCTCCTGTGACCAGCTGAAAAGGCCCCCTTCCCCCAGAAAAAAAGATAAATACATAAGGGGGTATTTTGGCGATTTTTTCAACGGCGCGGTGGTGGCGCGTCGGGCGCACTTCCGGTTTCGGGCTGCGGGCGGAAGTCACCATGCAGGACGTGCTTTCCTGTGTTTTGGAAGAAAACAAACAAAAACCTTCCTTCTCGTCAAAACGCCGCGGCTGGGGCTGCTGTACCGAAGGAGTCGGGAAAGGTTTGGAGGTCAGGTTTCTTGTGTTTTACGCCTGCTCTGTTCTTCCGAGAACCTGGACAGGGGCCATGAAAAAGGAAAACCAGACGCCGTCGGACCACGATTGTCTGTGCCGGAAGCACTTTGGGTTGAATTCACGGATACTTGTGGTCGTCAGATTGATTTGTTTTGTTCCAACATGAACGCGGAAAAACCACCAAGTCATACGGACCACCTGCGGACTGCGTTCAGTGCGTCTTCAAGCTCAAACGGCCGCCTGATCGTTCGAACTGTTGTCTGCTCTTTCAAACGTTTCTGCTTGTTGTCGTCTGCTTGTTCAATCGACAGGGGTCCGTAGAACAAGCGCGGACCCGTTAATTGCGATAAGAAGTAAGTGGAGGTTCCAAAGGACTTTTACGTTTGAAGTTTGGTTGGGGTTAGTAGGCTCGGTTCAAACAGTAGAGATGCAAGGGGATGTTGATCTGTTACCAGTGGCCATCACCTACTTGTTATGCCTGATTCACTCGGTTCGATTCTGCTTGCGATTTATCGACATCGACCATCTCAGCTACGGTTCGCACTTTTGCAGCCCAACCGACTTCATGGCTGAAAATAGCGAGCAGAATCTCATCATGCAAAGCAGCCTTTAAAGTCCATTCTGCGACGTCCACGCGGAATGATTCGCCACATGTCGCATTATTCACGCGACGTTAATTTCGCTGAGGCCGCTAAACATTATTCGCGCGAAGTTTTGCGGTGTAACGAGCCTCGTTAATCTCGCTGAGGCCGCTCAAGTAGTCAGACATTGCCAGGAAGACGTAGAATCAACAATTCTAACGCGAAAAAAAAGAAGCACGGGGACACACATCTACGTCGACAACATCGCATTCCAATGGTTTGTTTATGGGCGACGGCGAGCCTCTTGCCCACACTCCATCGCGCATGCGCGGTGCCGGTGGCGTCCGCTAGGGGCGCTCCGGTTTGTTTGGCTAGGTGGCGTAAGCTACCGCCCGATCCAAAGGGCTCAGCCGGATTCATCCATCCATCCATCCAAACATGAGTTGATCTATATTTTTTTAATCACCGACCTTTACCCTTTTTGGTATGCTATTTAGTATCGCGAAATTCGGCATATTTATTGTAAAATAGACAAAAGAAAATGATGCCATAGCCAAGATTCAAATATACCCGGGCTTTTTAGTGCCGTATCGTCAGTGGCAGGCAGGCTCACCAGTCGAGCAGGCAATCTAAAAAAAATGGACTATGTCGAGCATTTGATGTCTACCGCTGCACGGTTACTGTGGCGAGTTTCCGAAGCATTCATTTGACATTGAGAAACTGCTTGTAATCAGTTGTTCCCAACTCCTACAGTCCAAAGAGTGAACCTCTGCCTTCCACTGATATCACGTTTTCGTTGTTGCCACTATAGACTAAGCTTCAAAAATACGACGAGGACCGAAGTTGTAAGTTCAATAACTTGGCGAGAAAGAAAAAATAGTTTCACCTAATATATTTGGGATACTATTGCAGCGATGTGGTGTTGGTGTGTTTAGAAACTTCGGATAAATCGGGGGCCATGAAGAAAACGCCGGAGTACCCGATTAACAAAGTCGAAGATCAGTGCGCTGGTTGGACGTGACTGAAAGTTTACACCGAGACGGCTGTCAGATTCGCTTGAAATAAAGCTGTTGCGCATGCGCAGTGCCGACAGCAGCGCGCCGCCGCCGCAATGACGACTCAGAAAACGACACATGTTGTTTCATTTTGTCCGCTCTTGCGTGTATGCGTTCAGCAAAATCACGTTTTTTTTGTGTTTTGTTTTTTGTGTGTGAGTGTTGGCGCAAGC